TTTGTGTAAACTAGTCACGTACACGAATTCAAATCCACGGTAATCATTTTGCGAGGCGGCCACTATGTTTCAATAAGTTTCCAACATGAGAAAAACCGTCTTTGAGTTCAATTTTCAAGTCACGCAAGATAGTGGATCAGACTATAGGAGAAGTCAGTTTTGTTTGTTTTAGACTTAAATTTTGGAAACAAGACCTTCCAGACACTTTTTACAGACATCTGGTGGTATTTACCCTCTATGCGTGTTGAGTCATGAACAGTAGCAAGAGATTAAGTAATACAATATGTAAAACTTTTATCCACGGTCACTGATGCAGGCGTCCGTATCTATAGTTACTTGGACTGTCTTCAAAAACCTTCAAAACTGCCGCTTATAAATAATAAACATATCATAACTCGGACCTGATTGACTTTTGAAATCTCCCACAAAAAAGTGAGAACTATTGTTGGCTTAGTCATGGAGAATTAGGGTTTTAAGCTATATAGCAATTAGGGACTCATAAACCAGTCAGGTTTGCTTGAAAAGCGAGAGTCAGAAATTGCAGCGATGAAGCTTATTGCAATTATTTTCCTGGTGTATTTCTCCATTTCCGCAGATGCTGGAAAGGGAGGAAGCAAATTCTGCAAGAGTGCAGATATGAAGTTGGATGAGCTCAAGGACATGATAGAAGGTAAGGAGTGTCCGAGTCCAGGTGATGAAAATTCAGTTTTCAAGTATTTTGGTTGCGTATTTGTTTGTTGCAGAAATTTCAGTTTTTATGTCCCTTGCTGATGTATGTAATAACCACGGTTTAACCAAAATTTATGAGTTTCTGTTTTTGGTTTCCTTCTAGTTGTACCTCCTGAACCGCTATGTCTTGCAAGGAGATTTATGATGCGACCGGGGAAATACGCTCAATTTTTCGTGTGAAATTAAGGCGAATTTCAATTTTATAAAGTTAAAAAAAACGGTACTCCTGCATTTTGACACAGTCCCTACAAAAAGAACTCTTTGTTTTAAGGTCAAAAGAGAACAAGGCATACATGGTCGATTTGAAAGGCTGCAGGAAGCT